TGCAAACAAAACAAGCATGCCTTTTCTCAAGAAAAGCCGATCTCACTGTGCCCAACAACGTGAGATCAATTGCTAGAAGTGCATCCCAAAAAGTTGGTTTTCTGTTTCAGGCCAGGAGCTATTTCTCCTCCAGTCAGCTGCTTATGTTCTATAAGGCACTGATCCGACCTGTCCTGATGGAATACTGTTCAACATTTGGAGTGCAGCACCCAAACATACCCTGAAATTGTTGGATTCTGTCCAAAAAAGGGCAATTCGTCTTGTGGGTGTTGCCTCGCTCACAAACTCACTCACTTCTTTGGAACACCGAGGAAAAGTTGGCGATCTGGCTCTATTTTATACATATTTTCATGGACGATGCTCTCCTGAAATATCAACAATTGTTACTCTCTTGGCAGTCCCCGCGAGATTATCCCGTCGAGTTGAGGTTTCTCACCCCTTCGTCGTCACTTTGGAGATCTGCAGAACATCTCTTTCCAAAGACTTGTTCATCAACGAACAGCGAGGCTCTGGAACACATTGCCAAGGAAGGTGTTCCCCGAGGAATATAACCTCCAGAAATTCAAGAAGAACACCAATTCCTACCTCATTTTCCTTGGTTCTCACGATGTTCTATGAATATTACAGGATATCCCTTTTTGGGAGAACCAGAACATAAAAAAAAACTTGAACTTTCAACCAATCTTGCAGTGATTGTTGAAACTGAATACAGAATTGCATAGTCATATTGTTATGTCTCATGACCATAATCGACCTTTATCAACGCATAAGAATATTTTGGGGATCACAAGTATTGGAACATTGGAACTCTCCCTTAGACAGATATTCTGTCCACGACACTGAATCGCTTATCACCGAGTTCGCGCACCATTTAATTCGAATCACGTTAAACACTCACACCGCGATTCAAACATTATAAAATGATCACTTCATTTCACAGCCACCTATTGTTTAAGAGAGGGTTAAATAATTGAATATCGGGCTCGACGGATGGCGGGGAAAGAGAGAGGGGGGCGAGAGAGCGAGAGGGGTGAGTTATTATACGTCTTCGCGGGTGCCTCATTAGCGATGGGGGTTCGAGACCTTTTAATTGTCAACCTGTCACTCTCACACGATTTCCTTGATAAACGTGAATATATGCATAGGAAATAAAGCTACTAAATATTCAAGATTGATAGGTACATACATACATACATAAATGTACTCGGTCAGACAGGTCGTACGTTCAATCAGCGCATTCATCCAACATAAGATGAATATATTGAAAAAGAAAACGAATTCAACATACGCCAACCATATATTGAAAGAAATAGTTATTTATTATACAAGGAAAAAAGGTAGTAGATCTAAAATCTAATATTTGTCCCGTATATAGTACACTTAGGAAGAATAAATATTGAGAAGATATTACATTATTTTGAAATCTGAAAATTATCGACGTGAAATTTTAAGTTTTTAACAGTAGGGACACCTGCGTTGTAGGCATCTTTATCATCCTTTTGAAGTAATCTATCTGATGTCACTTCTGTCAGTCAAATTCTGTGATTTGATTTCAAAAAATTGCGAATTTAGTGGTTGTTTAGTAATTTACGTAACCGCGAAGTCGAATGGGAGATAAAAGGACTTGCAGTTCTTTCTCGGAGTACTCACTTTTTTTCCCACAGGAAAAAAGTAATTTTTGAAAAGTGACATTTTATAACCTGCCAACAGAGATGAAATGCCAAACTCTTTTCCCGTCGCAGAAAAAAACATAGCTTTGATGATAATTTCGAAATTCTACACGTAGAAAATGAAGGAATGAAACTCAATCATTTTGAATCAGTAGAAATCAACAAACTCAAAAATGTTGAAATTTTACTCAATGATCAATTAGACCTCAATACTTCACTACTGTTGAATTTGTTTCTTTAGAAGGTGAACATATGTATTTGCTATCAACCCTTTCAAGTTGATCCGGTACACCTGGGTACACCGTATTTTCGAATATGAAGGTTTATCGAACCTGTCCATGTAAATAATCCGAAGTACCGAATCGTGCAAAAATCGTCTCGAAATATCAGGTTTTATCCTTTCGTCATCTAGAATAATAAGGTACTCTTTGGATTTGGATTTCATCTATTTCGTTTCATTTCAATCGATCAGATTTTTTGTTCTGATTGAGTATATCCAAATAATGAGTTGAAGTTTTTGTCAGTTAATTATTATCCTTTTCCCATTCTTAAATAAATGTCAATTCGAACATCTAAAACATAGATAAAAGTTTGTTCCAGAAGATTCTCTATTCAAGTAATTCAATTAGGTCCTAATTACCTGACACATATACAGTAATATACGTATTTTTTTCATAACATTATAGACTTTTGAATCAATGTATATATTGGGTATAAGTATATATATGTGTATAGGTATAGTAATAATAGTAAAATATTTGAAAAAAATTGCGGCACGTAGATTTTTTCGAAAAAATATCTCGAATTATCGGAATCGAGAAGTACAAAATGACTGATTCAACTTAGATCTTTCAGAAATGCAGCGAAATAGTTTCTGTTTCAGAATTGCAAGGTGTTTTTCGAAAATGTAAATTTTTGAATATCATTGGCTACAAATAATTGTTTGAGCAACACTTTTTTGTTCCCATGAAGACAATCCCAACATATAGGTAATTGGAGTTATAATAATAACTGATCCTGAGGCACTGAAGTTAGTCTTCTGAGGATCAATAATTTTCATGATGAAAACAATGCCTTGGAAATATTTTGATAAAAACAAAGAATTTTGCTAAAACAAATAGTTATTGACACTTTTCGAATATACACACAGTTTTGAAAAACAATTTGTAATTCAAAAACGGAGATATCGATATGCGGTAAGCGGGTTTCACCATTGATTAAGTTTGCCATGACAATTGACCCTCATTTCAGACATCGATATTAGCTTACTTTTTCCTATCTATATGGTTCGAGAATATGACTTTCCCTTCAGAAGCGTCCAATTTGGCCTATACCCTGTACATATTTCCTCAGATGATTCTGATGCAGTTCGCTGAAGAAAGAGGATTTTTCTACTCACTATTCTATGCAGAGAAGAGAATTTGTATTCATGAACCGAATAATTATGATTTCTCATTTTAGCTTTGCATAGCCTCGGTAGTACGATTCACTGTTGTGTTCCAATTATCAGTCCTTTTCCAGAGGAATTCTATGGATTCAGTAACAAAGCCTACACAGAACATACGGATAGGTTGAAGGATCTCTCGTAAGGTCGATGACCTGTTTCGTCTATCGTCATTTTTCAATGATGTCAGGATCCAGCAATTGCTCTGTGTACGAGGCGAACAGATCAGGATGTTCGTATAGGGTAACTCGATGACTACAAGGGGTATAAAAAATAGAAATAATTGACATCTCCTATTTATTTCTTCGAGTTTTTGAGTTATAAGCAAACACTGTCTGTAGGTTAATCGAGGAGCAGGTGCATTATATTCATTATTTCAAATTTTTTGGGATTTTCTCTCCTCATTTCTATAAAATGAAAGTTTGAGTATAATTTCAAAAATCGGGTAGTGAGGACAAATCAAGCGAATTAATTTTTTTTATGCTTGATGATAGGAACATTTTTACAGGCATAGTTACATTCTGGGGCAAATCATCTGATTAGTCCCCACTATAAGTATTTTGAAATAATATTCATATTTTTATTTTACAGAAACGAGGAGAGCGAATCTCAAAAAATCTGGAATAATGTTGATTTTGAAATTTTTAGTCAGTCACAAACATGGAAAAATCGTGGTTGTTTGTAAATTTGGAGAAAATAACTTTCACATTATCAAGGCACCATTTCCTGTATAACAATGACGTTGAGAAAAAGAAATTGACCAAATTTTTTTCGGTTTTGAAGATATATACATCAAAAACGACTCGACGAAATAATCAAGATAATATATGATTAGAAAGAGAGGAAAAATCCCGCTTCAACTAATCCATAGCCAACTATAATTTCCATTTGAAAAAATGGATCCCTATAGGCCATAACTGCACTTATTTTCAGATTATGCATTGAGTGGAAGTCCAGGATATACACGATTTTTTTATAACTAAAAAAAAACAACGTTTCTGTCAGAGAATTTGTCTAAAAAAATCGAGAATATCATTCTCATTTTATTTCATCTATATTTTAACTTCCGAGTTGCCCTATACAAACATCGGAATTCGTTCACCATCTAAAATTCATTATGAATTAGGTATATCTTGTATAAAAGATAATAACAAGGAAGTAACAATAATTCTCTGATCTATATATATACTCTGCAAAAGATTGATAAAAGTTGATAATATAATGAATTCAATAAAAAATCCAAATGTTTTCACACTCTAGTTCAGAAAATAATACAAAAACATATATATTCCATAACTTTATTTAAATCAATTCGAATATTGCACATTGATAACAAAAATCAACAATTAAAACATATCTACACCAAAATATACAATATTTACATTATATACTAAAAGGTATGATTCCATAAAATCTCGACTTGCAAATAAATATCTGGTTACCGGTTTCAACTGAATATACCTATATAGTGCGGTCTATAAATGAGGATTGAATTTATTTAAAATTCAGGTAAATATTTCTGCAAATAAAATCGCTGGACACGTGAACCTAATTTCAATATTTTTAATGTATGTACCATATCCCCCAAATTTCATGAAGCGGACAAAAATTGACTGAATAGAAGATTGAAAATAATGTAGTCTAAGTATTACAAAACCATGCCATTTAATGAGAAAATAACAAATCCTTTTTGGAGAAAGAAAAATAAATAGACGTCGATAATGGACTGCTTGAAATGAAATCATCATTCCATCACATCCTAGGGGACCCATACATTTACTTCTAGAACATTATCTGATGTTTCTGAGGTATGGGACGCTAAAATTGATTAATTGCATATAGTACCTAAAATGTCGTTGACCTGAATATCAATTCACGGAAACCAATTAGTAACTGCCCTTCTTCCCAATTTTATCGTCGTCCTCCTTGTCCTGATGGGCTGTCATGTGTCTAGTCAGATGATGTCTCTCCCTGAAAGACTCTGCACACACCGGGCATTTCAACTTATCCTCCCTCCTCCTCTTGGTTATATCGGTGGCTTCGTTCTTGTGGTGCGACCTCATGTGATACACCAAGTCCGAAGTCATCCTGAAGGAGATATTGCATTTGGCACATACGTTTTGCGCTGGCAAAGACAAAGCTGCTAGCGATGGCGGTAGAAGCGTGGTCAGTATAGCAGCTGGATTCCGCAAGTCTGGTCCTGACATTTTCAGCATCTCTGGATTGGAGAGTTGTTGGTAGTTGTAGGTCAGATCTGGCCTGTACATAGGTCGCATTTTCGCGAAGTTGGGCTGCATCAGCTCCTGTTGGGTCCTGAAGAAGTTGGTTTCCATCGAGGAGTTATTTTGCGGGAAGCTATCGGACATGAATTGGTGATTCTGATATGCTAGCTGTTGGTTCTTGAACAGTCGACTCGGCGAGAGTATCCCAGTTGGAAAAGTTTGGTAGTTTCTATTGATAGGTGGGGATGGAGACAAAGAATGCTGATAGCTCAGGTCTGGGCTCATGCTGAGACTAGGTGACAGTCTAGATTCTTTCTGGGCAAGGGTAACTTTGGTGAAAGCACTTTTTTGTTCGTTAGAGGACGATAAGGGTTTGTGTCTCAGATCTTCTAGGTTTTTTGGCTTCACTAGTCCAGGATCATCGAAGATCTGTTGCTTCTGGGTGAAGAACTTTTGATGTGGCTTGTACTCACGCGGGTTGTCTTCTATTTCAACTTCTTCGTCTTCATCGTTGGTGCTGTAACACACATCGATGTCTTTTTCGAAAGTTTTAGCTAGCTTCTGTTTCTGCTTGAGCTTCTCGTCAGGCAACATCAGGAAGGCAACATCGAACGGTCTTTTCACTGCTTTGGGTGATAACTGCGTTTGTTCGTCACATTGAATCTCACTTTTCAGTTCCAACTTCCTATGCAACTCCATGTCGGCACTAACACTGATGCACTGGCGACTAGTATTGAACATGAGCATGGGAAGCTTCTTGTCGAGAGACTCTGTACATAATGCGAAAAAGCAGAGTGCTCGCCTCCAAATATTGTGCGATTCCAAACCTACCCTCGATGAACATCTGGGATTTCCACCCTTATGGCGAGAGAGAGACGGCGCTAGGCTCTCGCTTAGGTTTCGACAGGGATGGAGGACGTACGTTTAGAAAAGCACATTTCTGCGAAAGCTTCCTATAGGGGTGAGCGTAAGTTTCAGGGTGAAATCAAGCCAATGGAGCTTTCGGGATGGGAGGAGCCGGGAAATACGTTGGGCCAATACGGTTTTCAATGTTCGGCGCGGTTAGAATAGGACGCTTCAAGAGAGAGTGAAGGGTTGCTAGGATGGACAGATTGCTGGGATGATGTGAATGGGAGAGTTCTTTAATGGGGAATTAGGTGGTTTGCGGTGATGGATGTAGGTGGTTTGATTGAGTAGAGAGGTTTAGGGGTGTCTAAGATTGGTTACTTGTTACATGAAAAATACAGTGCCTTCACCAAATTTTCCACATACTTATTTGGAAGCATTTATCAAATACAATGTTGATAACTTGATTTTGTTCATGAGATTATTTTTTTTGGAAGTTTTCCGTGATGAGAGGGCCATCAGAGCTGATTCACAGATCGAAAAAATATTTCTTTTACCAATACAGCGATTGAAAGAGATTTTGAAAATTCGGGTTTCATTCCACAAAAGTAAATCTTTTAAATACTGTCTGTAGGTTATCCGAGGAGATGGTATATTCATTTTACTTGATTCTTTGGGATTTTCTCTCCTCGTTTTGATAAAATAAAAATATTCGTATTACTTCAGATGATTTGTACCAAAATGTCACTGCGTTTAACAAATTTTTCTATCAGGGACTCTAAAAGAAAAATCCAGTAGCTTGTCAGTGACAATTTGTTTGAAAAAATGTTTGAAGGAAAGAAATATAGATTGGGAACGCGGGAGCAGATTCAGTCCCGAAACGTCCAAAGATAAGTACAAATTCTGTATTTTTTCAATATATCTATATTTCTTTCTTTCAAACAATTTTTCAAACAAATTGTCAACAAGCTACTGGATTTTTCTTTCAGACTCCCTGATAGAAAAATTTGTTAAACGCAGTGACATTTTGGGGCAAATCATCTGATTTGTCCCACTACAAATATATTGAAATTATAAGTATACGAATATTTTTATTTTATAGAAACGAGGAGAGAAAATCCCAAAGTATCAAGTGAAATAAAACTTGTAAGTTCGAAGACTACACAATTGCATTCAAAAGAATCCCAAATCAGATTACTAAATGTAAGTACATCGAGAGAAAAATATTTTTGTTTTCACAAGATGTATGTACATAATACACCACACAAATATGGATGCATAACTTTTATTAACAGAATAAGATACATCATGTTGATTCCTTATGGAAATATTAGGTTACCTGCATTCCAATAATAAATTGCTGATAATGTTCAAATCGTCAAATGAGTATGAAAAACTCGTCAACCTAAGTATTTCAATGAGTCAGCCCACTAGATAAATCCTGCAGTGATGAAGAGTAAATTCCACGTAATTGTCTGGAACATGGAACATTTTCCCACAATTTTCATTTTTTATGTCAGCCCGAATGATGACCAGAAGGTACATTGTAGGCTCTCTAATAGTTAAATTATGAATTAAAATGACAGCACATGGTCGATATCGTATATTATGAATATAAGATTGGATACATCGTAAATTGACGGAATAATAAACTTGAAACAACTCAGAAAAAAATTATAAATATATTCAATTGAATACAGTATAAGCGAAATTGTTAAAGAAGCGAAGAGAGAAAATCCCAATGAATCTTGAGAAACGTTGGATTCTGTCATTAATACAAAGTATATGAATTTAAAAACTCTCCGGCCGTGATATCATCCTTCCAGTAAATGATATAAAAAATCAGAGACACGTCAATTCTATATTTTAAAGGGATACACTCTCAGTGAATATTCTTAGCCCTCGTGACTCAACTCCTTTGGAGGAGTAATGGTACCCTCAGAATTTTTTATACGAAGGGGAATAGACACATAATTTCAAAGGGCGTTTAGTTTAGTTATCTTTCCGATGGTACCTTAATGTCTTATTTTTCAATGGGCAGTTTCCGGAAGATATAGCGTTTTGAAGTTGAAATGAAAGCGATTATTATATTGTATTGTTTACTGGAAGGGAGATATTGTATATGTTACCAGACAAACCCGATTTTTGGATAAACTAGTTTTTCCTAGGCTATACCAGTATATCCGCGAAGAGCGATAGGATGAACTAGTTTATCCTAGGATAAACTCGTTTTTCCTGAAATAAATTAATAACAAGTCAAGCAGATTGATGAAAAATGCAATGACTACGTTCCCGAATGATCCAATGATATATGAAAGGTACTTACTGAAATCAGTGTATTACCCTCGATATTACCTAATGTGGATGTGTATTCAATTCATTCAATGCAAACAGTCTGAATTCAGAGAAAAAAGTTTGAATTCACAGAAGAAAGTCTGAATTCAGAGAAAAAAGTCTGAATTCAGACTTTATAGTCTGAAAGAAGAAAACAACAGTGGCCTTTCTACGCTTATGCATGAACAAATGGAGTCGAAAGAAGTTAGCCAGAAAAATATCTTCATCTCTAAAATCCTTTATGACGCAGCTGAACCGATAAACAAATCCACTTGGCTCCTCAGTCCTCAGCACAAACAGCCAGTGCACATGTTTGTTTAATCTACGATGTGCGGTGTATTGTCTATTCTCCTAGGCCTTTGTCGTCCTTTTGGCAGGGCAACTAGACACCTGCCATGCGGTCTGGCACATATGGTCCCAGCCATCCAGCATCAATGGCCACCCCCTGCGGGTACAGAGAAAAAGGGGCCAGAGCATATTGAAGAGTATTTAGCGAGCCTTTAACTTTGCGTCTAGATTGCCAATATGATATGTGTGTATGAGTCATATGGTCATATTGTGTGTCAAAGGGTGATTCATCAGAATTTAATTCGTGGCACGTTATTTTTTGGTATCAAGGAAGGGTAGAAGTGCCACCCGCGTGTTTTCTATCGAAATTTTGTTTTTCATCCAATCTTTAACTCTCTATTGGTATCTAGAAGGAAAAGTTGTTCATCTATAAAGATGTAGAAAGGGAACCACCTTGAAGAAGATAATGATAAACGTTCTTGATTTTGCATAGATTTCGTCTCAGTCTTGCTTTTTTTTCAACATTCATTGCCTGCCAAATTTGGAAAAAAAAGTCGAAATTTTTACATATAAGTCCGAATTTTGAGACAAAAGTATAAAATCATCCATATGAGGTATCACTCGATCCCCCTATTACATTTCAAAAAATGTCTGTTCTATTTCGAAAAACAAAACAATTTTTCATTGGAAACAGCGATTGAAACAGAAGAAAATATATACAGGGTGGCCCTTTGAAAACGAAACAGAGGCTCTGTAGGTCACCAAAACCGGATTATAAAAAAAATCGGAAACTTTCCAACTACATTTTCGAGGGGGACATCGGTTTAAATTATTTTCAGCCCTGCGGCGCTGGCGCTTCTAACGAAAAGAAGCAATAACTTTGTTATTTCAAATAGAGCACCCTGTATTTCATTGCATTTTTAGATTCTCCCTGAGCTGATTTCATCTTTGTATCGCACTTGAGATCTAGCGGCAATGATTACAGAGCTATAGGGTGTTCAAAATCGAGATTTTTCAACTTAAGAATTTTTTTGTGTCGAAACTATTCTTTATTGGTCAAAACGACTCTTCTATCCCCATCTCAACTTTTGATTTACTATCTGCTGACATTTAATTGGAACAGATACAGGGCGATCAGAATTCTGAATCTTGAACCATCCTGTATTTGTTTCAATTGAATGTCAGTAGATAGTGAATCGACATTCGAGATAGGATCATGTGAGCCGCTTTGACCAATGATGAATATTAGTTTCGAAAGTCGAAAAATCTTGATTTTGGACACCCTATAGCTCTGTAATCATTGCTGCTAGATCCCAAGTGTGATGCATTGATGAAATCAGCTCTTTGGAGAGAATCTCAAAATGAATACAGGGTGTTCCATTTGAAATAACAAAGTTGTTGCTACTATTCGTTAAAGCGGCAACGGCGCAGAGCTGAAAATAATTTAGAACGACCTACAGAGCCTCTGTTCTATTTTCAAAGGGCCACCCTGTATACCTCAGGCGTTCTATAATAATCAACTAGGAAGGGGTTAATTTATGGACTGACTGTATAGTTCTATATAGAGAATAAACTACAAATAGGTATTTAATAGGAGGTTGAACATTCATCATATTGAATTCATATTTCGAATATTCGAAAACAAAAATCAGTGCCGGATTTATACTCCCTTACGCCGGGGGCTAACTTTTACCTTTTACGATGCCGCCGCGCCGCCGCCAAATATTTGATTTTCAATTGTCAGTTTCAAAATTCAAATAATCCTTTCACTGTTTTTTTTACAGCATATAACAATAACATGAAATCATTATATGTACAACGAATCAAATTATATTTACTTCACAAGTTAAACGTAACAACAAACAACACATATTTTTTTTCAGATGAATACTACAATAATTGTCTTGATTTTTTTGATGCAAAGTCGTCAATGGCATCATCAACATTCAGATTTAATAACATCTCACTGTTGATACTTGAAATTGATAAGATATTCAATATCAGTAATTGTCAATATTCAATGAATTTGCTGTGATTATCCCTAAAACAACGCTTAGTCGTGTTCATATTCTGATCATCTATTTTTGAGATTCAACTCTTCTTTTTCGCATATTGAATTTAAAAATATTTGAAACTTACCATTCCTGTCTTGAGATCGTTTCCGGAGACGGTTCTATCGGTTCTGATACTGTCTCATTTGAATTTAGAAAAAATGAATGTATTTTAGGTCATTTCTTGACAACTTCGTCTAACTAGTTCTGTTTATTAATCTTCTGCCG